GCAGACATAGAGGAAGAAGAGGAAGAAAGAAAAAGAAAAAGAAGAAAGGAAGAAGATGATCGAAAGAGGGGAGGGGAAGAAGATGGATCAAAATAGGAGATGGGTAAATTTGTAATTTTTTATTTTTTTATTAAGGCAAAATCGGTTGATGAGTTGGTGATGAGTTGGCAATAATGTGGCTTAAAAAAAATTCCAGATCAACGTTTTTTTAAATTATTTTTGCTATGTCATCAAAAAAAATTATAAAAAATATCACGTGTCATAGTTAACGGTCTAAATTGACAGAAGGATTAACGGTGTGCATTTTTTAGAGTTGACGGATCAAAAAAGTGCAAAAAATTATTAAAGGATCAAAAATGTGCAACTCATTAAAGTTGAGGGACCAAATTTAGCATTTAATAAAAAACAAAAGAACTTTGAGAAGTTTGCAGTCAAAAAGCAGGAGGCGTCTAGAGTAGAGTGAGAATAAAGGAGACTCTTCCTTTTATAATAAGAGCACTGCTAGGGGCATTTCCTGCTGTGGCCTACAGTCACTGCATTCTAAAAGGGCTATAAGTGGATTACACCTTAATTAATGGTGGAATTTTGTCAAAAACTAAGGTAATAATTTTTAATTTTTAATTCTTAATTATTGTCTCTATCAAAAAAAAAAAAGAGCAGGGGCACTTGCTTTTCGCACTCTCCGTTTAACACTTTCTCTTTTATTGGGCCACGTTATCTTGGTTCCCGAGAAATTGAGCTGAAAGCTTTAAAGAATTTTACGTGGCCCAATCAAAGGGGAAGTGCCGGCCGGGGAGTGCGAAAAGCGAGTGCCCCTAGCATTGCTCCTTATTATAATTCATAATGTAAGGACAAAAGAGGAAAAGATGTCCTGACCATATCATCGCTCATCATCCATCTTACCGTATGTGCAAAAGATGCTAGCTAAGCCTCTACAACGGCCACAACTGAAGTTACAAGAAAAAACAAAAAAAAAAGGTTTCTCTCCCCAATGCCCTTCACAAAAACCAAGATTCAATTAGTACTTAGAGGAGGTGCAAGGGAAATAATAATAAATTTTATTTTAATATTATATTATCATAATAAACATTATTTTATATAATTTAAAATTTTATATATTTAATATTTAAATAAATTACTTAACAAAAGATAAAACCCCTAAATCTACTCTTAAAAAAAATGGATAAAAATAAATCCATTATTTTAAAAAATATAAAAATAAATTATTCCTTTAAATTATAAATCAAGACTAATCATTAATTTTTTAACGGATTGTGTCAACTTTTCATTAAAAAAATACTTACATGACAAACAAAATGAATTATTTGTCTTGATTTAAAATTTAAAAGGATAATTTATCTTTATTTTTTTTAGGAGTGAATATATTCTCACCCATCTTTTTTAGGAGTAAATTTGGGTTTCTGCCCTTAACAAAATACCTTCCTTTCTTTTATTGTATAGAGAGTCCAAAAAGAGGCTTTTCCCCAAAATTAGAATAACCAAATTGGGGTTATTTTTAGTCCATTTTTAGTTTTTTTTTTTTTTTGTTTCTCTATTTTAAATTTTTCATTATCTAATGTGTTACATATGCAAAACTTAACAAAATAATTAAAAAGATGTCAGATTTCAAACTTTAAGGACTAAAAAAAGATTTTTTTCAAGTAAAAGGACTTTTTAAAGTAAAAGGACTAAAAAGAAGTTTTTATCAAAATAGAAGGATCAAAATAGAGATTTAACTAAAAAAAGTATAAGAGGTGATAACCTCTCCAACGCCACTAACCCTCATCATTATCTTATCGCTCCGCTTTGAAACATCCTTCCCTCCCTCAAGCTCCATCCATGGAGGTTTTCTCACTTCTATGTTTACTCTTCTTACTTCTCCTTTCCCTGTTTATCTACCGCCATCGTTCCACTTCAAACCGTAAAACCCACGGCCACCATAAAGGGTTCCAAACCTACCCCCTAATCGGCACCTTGCTGGAATTCTTGAGAAATCGGAACCGGTTTCTCGACTGGACAACCCAAGTCCTGGGCGATTGCCCCAACAACACCTCCCCCTTTCACCGTCCTGGGAATATTCACGACGTCATGACGGCCAACCCAGCCAACGTGGAGCACATCCTCAAGACCAACTTCGAGAACTACCCGAAGGGGGAACGGTTCATCGTTCTCCTCCAGGATTTTCTTGGCAAAGGAATCTTCAATTCCGACGGTGAGCTATGGAAGTTACAGAGGAAGACAGCAAGCTATGAATTCAACACGAAGTCGCTCCGAATCTTCATCATGGAAAGCGTCAGGGTCGAGCTTTATACAAGGTTGATTCCGATCTTGACAGAAGCCGTAAAATCCCACCGGATTCTTGACTTACAAGACATACTCGAGCGATTTTCGTTCGATAATATCTGCAAATTAGCTTTCAATTTCGACCCTGGTTGTCTCGGTGGTACCAGAAAAACTGGCACGGAGTTCATGCGGGCGTTTGAGGATGCCGCCAAACTCAGCGCCGGCCGATTCCTGTATGCTGTCCCTTTCCTCTGGAGGGTGAAGAAGGCTCTGAATGTAGGGTCGGAAGCAACTCTGATGAAATCGATTTCAATTGTCCACGAATTCGCAGACACTATTATAAGAAACAGATTGGAATCAGGAGCAGATAAGAATGAAGATGACCTGTTATCACGGTTCATCGGAAATGATGAAACTTCAGCGGAGTTTCTTCGAGATATCATCATAAGTTTCATTCTTGCCGGACGAGACTCGACATCCTCTGCTTTGTCCTGGTTCTTTTGGTTACTCTGTTTCAATCCCGAAGTAGAACAGAACATACTTAAGGAGCTCAAGGAAATCCGGAGTCGGAATAGGAAAAGGATCGGAGATTCGTACAGTATGGAGGAGCTCCGCGACATGAACTATCTCCATGCAGCGATTTCTGAAACAATGAGACTATACCCGCCAGTACCAGTCGACACAAAAGCATGCCTGAATGATGATGTTCTTCCTGATGGAACTTTCGTCCGAAGAGGGTGGTTCGTGACTTATCATACCTATGCAATGGGGCGGATGCCGAAGATATGGGGTGAAGATTGCTATGAATTTCGTCCGGAAAGGTGGCTGGACGAGAAGGGAATTGTGAAGCAAGAGAGCCCATTTCGGTTTCCAGTGTTCCATGCAGGGCCAAGAATGTGTCTGGGGAAGGATATGGCGTATATTCAAATGAAGTCTATAGCCGCAGCCGTGATGGAGAGGTTCTTGGTGGAGGTGCAGGAAAAGGAGAAGAGCGGGGGGCATCTTTTGTCTCTAACTCTGAGGATGAAAGGCGGATTACCAGTGAAGGTAAGGGAGAGAATATTATTGGACTAAGTCTGATTTGATAATGGTAGATTCTAGTCATTATAGTAAGAGATTAATGGTTTTTCGATACATATTACACAAAAGGAAGTAGAGTTTAATGTTTAAATTATCAAAACAACTTTAATGAACAAACAAAAAGAATAGTTTTGATAAGTCTATTTTGATAATTTTAATACTTAAATTATATTATCTTTATGCAATCTATACAGAAAAAACATTTA